AACTTCGCTTAATCCTCAACTTCCTTTTAATCCTCAATTCCTTTTATCCTCAACTTCCCTTTATCCTCAACTTCCCTTTATCCTCGACCTCCCTTTATTACCTTCATTCTTTTTTCCTCTTGAATAAAAATGATGATTCAATACATTTATTCGAAAAATTATTTGAAAAATGGAATCATTTTCTCCTCAGATTTAAAAAACGAAATTAAACAAAATTCGAAAGATCCGATGATATTTATTCATTTCATTTTGGCTACCTTAAATTTTGTATCTTGTATCGAAATTCTTTGGCAAATTTGTTTTTTAAAATATAAAAAAAACAAAATTTTAGGATTGGACATAAAATTTTGTTTATATCTTACTATAACCCGTATGTAACTTTGAAAAAAAAAATTCAGAGAAATTATGAATGTCATAATGTCATGAAAATAATAACATTTTTTATCCAATAGATTTACTTTATTCCTTGTCTCAAATGTCTAACTTAGTATGTTCCCCATTTTCTTCGTTATTTTCTCAATGTTACATATTGACTCAGGACCTTTTTACAAATCTTTTAAAAGTTCCTCGTCAGAGCAGAAGCAATTACCAAACTATCGATATTATGTGATGTCGGAGGAAGACTCTCTCCAACGATTTTAACAATGAATTTATTAGTCATTTTTATTTTTGCATTTGATGCTATCTGGAAAAATGTTCTAAAAACTGAATCTCAAAGTTTTCGGAATTTTATTTTATGGAGTACGATATTTGCGATTTCGTGGGCTGCGTCTACTTTTGGATTGAATCGATATGACCCTTTAGAATTGTGGTAAATTTTGATATGAAATTGCAATTTGAACATTAACTTTTAGTATAGTATATGTTTATAATTTATACTTCTTTTAAAATTAGGTGCACTAGAAGGATGTACATGCCACTCAATGATTACATGAATCTTGGCGTTATAATGATAAGCATTATAAGTGTGATTTCACTATATTTCCTATTAGTGAATGATGCGAAAATACACGACCCTAATAAATCGAATGAGATAAAATTTATTTCCTGCCTAATTTTTGTTTACATTTTTCAATGGGTAAATTTAATCAATATGTCCTTATTATGCTTTATTATGCTTTATTATGTTACTAAATATTCGTATTACATTGTTTTTTCCTACTAGTCATGCTTCCTTCTTAGTAATCTTTTGATAATTTTCAAATTGGAGAATGATTCTGTTGTATGTTAATTTATAACTTTCTGAAATTCTCATATTTCTAAAAATACTATTTGTTGTTACTAATTTATGTTACGTTATTCTTTTGTTAGTCGTACCAGACTTTTTTCTCAGCACTTTTGCTTATAGGTAAGTTTAATCATAAAATTTGTCATAAAATGTTCATTACCGATACAATCGTAACAATTATTGCATGAAATATTAGGTGCACATAGTGGAGGAATATTAAACTCTATATTGCTTTCCATAAAACAATACTGTGATATGGATCTCGATGATGAAATTATCGACATTGAAAAGAATGATGACCTTACCATTCTAGACAAAAGCATTACTAGTTTTAATTATTCGAATAACAATAACATTGGAAATGAAAATGAAAATAGTGATATTAATTTGCTTCTTACTTCAGCGAAATCATATGGAACCATGCGTGATTAATATAATATTTGTCCAATTTAATATTTATTGTTGGTATGATATCAGATAAAATATTGTAGATAGATTAATGTGCTCTTCATACCACTCATGTTATCAATACATTTTGCACACGTATATAATAATTAAAAATAAAAACATCTATATAATACAACATAAAAAGGCTGTTTAGTATATGAAAATTTTGTATAAAATTTATCGTTGTGGTTTTGTAGAATTCACTGACAATGCTGACTATCAGTGTTGTTGCTAGCCTTAAATCTAATATCTTTGTTTAGCCTAGCCTTAAGTCAATTAGTCCAAATCCGACAGTTTATATCGATATGTCCAAATAACAATAAAATACTGCTAACTATAGATCGGGTAAACCCTAAAATTTTGTTAAAGAAATGGTTGTGTGAATTATATATATTTTTTCGTTGTTAAATCAAACTAAAAATTCAAAAAAAAAAAAATACATGCAAAAATATATCTGATGAAATTAAAATTCTTTTTATTTTATATATATATATATATATTCGATTAAAAAATTCATCGGTCACTTTACTAATAAATCACTTGTCTGGTGATTTTTACATTAGTTACAGATGAAATACCTGCTTAAAAAAAATTTGCATTAGACTGATTTATTATAAATTATTACAAAAGAGAAATATTTAAATATAAACTCATTTTTATTGTACTAAATTCCTAATTATTGTACCTTAATTCAGAATTTACCGTAGGTGAAAAACAACCTTACAACCTATATGATACATTTTATAATTTAGAAAAGTTTTGATTTTTTTAATGAAGCAAAAATTATCCAACAAATTCTACAGGCATTTTAATTATTTTCTAAAAGGAAATATGAACAAGGAATACAAACTTTAAGCTCCAAATTCTATTCAGTATAATACGACAAAAAACAGTAATAAACAAAAAATTAACAAAACATCCTGTTCCTGACTCACAATAATAATTAATCGCTCTTGATTTATAACCAGGAATTGTTTGTCACTTAATTTATATGACAAATCATGCCTAATAGAACAATGTAAGTGATCATAGCAATGAATCCAGTCAAAGCCACATATCCACCAGCAGTCTTAAATGGTTTAGATTTATCTAAAACGTCCACATTATGTCGTCGTCTAAGTGCAGAGATGCCTAAAATTGCACCTCCAAATAATGCAAATACTACGCCTATGTAGTAAAATGCTGGTTCAAATAATCGAAGAATTAATAAGGCAAAACTAAATGCAGAGATACATGTTCGCACGTATGCTCCTTCAAATGTTCTTTGGCGGGCTATTAAATATAAGATAGTGCGTTTAGAGGATAAAATTAAAGATAACAAAATATTGGGTGAAATAATTTGTTTTTATTACATACCCCTGTTTAATGTGTCAGAATATAA